GACAACCAAGTATCAAAAAACTGAATGCTGAGTGGAAGCTGTTTAGTTAGTTATCCTGGGTTTTGAGTGGACATAGCATAGCGTGTAGAGTCAGCCATCCTGGGAAAATATGAACTCAAAGGAACGGATAAACGATTTTTTAATTTCTTTCTTTAAAGTTCAATTTTGAGTATTTAGTTTTTTCAAAATACACAGTATTCTTTTAAGAGTCACCAGTTTACTATGACACACATATAAGCTATGTCGTAAAGATTATCTTGTAATTTAGAATATGAGAGGTAGAGTAAAAAGTATGGAGTGGTAAAAGAGAAGGAAACTGGATGCTTTACCCTAATTTGCTTCTTCCTCTTTAGAGTGCTGTGGGTTTTATTTTAGCTGTTCTGTTTGCCTGACCACGGGCAGTGTCCCCACCTCTGTTACAGCCTTCTGTGCTTAGAGAGTTAGAGCCACCTATAAATCAGCAGTCGTAGTGGAATCTTGGCAGATGAGGTCTCAGTCAGGAAACAAGCATTTTGTTTATATTTAGATAATTTGAGAGCCTGGCCTCTGGGCATTCTGTAAGAAATCCAGAAAAGAGAAGCCTGAAGAACAGAATATTTATTATGAATAGATGTTACCTTTCTCACTTAGGGGTTTAATTCCAAGCAGCTTGAGTAAAACGAAGGACATTGTCTCTTTTCACTTACTTGGCAATATTTTTAAAAGAGTGAAGAGTCCAAATCAAAGAGAATGAAGACTGTAGCAGAGAATGTAAGATGACAGCTGGCATGAATGACTTTTTGGCACTGTTGAGAAAGGACTCAGACTCAAAATCTGAAAGGTAGTAAGAGAGATCATTGTTCCACAGTACAGCTGATACATTTGGGAAAGTTCTTTGAAACATATATCCATGTCCCAAAAGAGGTGCTAAAATCCCAGGGTTTTTCAGCCAATAATGGCACTTCTGTTACAATCAAGTTGAAAAACAAAGCAAACAAACTGAACAAATAAAAATAATTCTTTAGCGTCTGAATGGCACTCGAGTTCTCTGTTTTCCCTCATAAAGCATACGTACTGTAAGTTAAAAATTGAAAGAAGTAACGTTAAGTTCTTCTCTTAGAACCTACTGTGCAGAATGTGCTCTAACTTTTCTCTCCTTGATTTTGGTAGTCATTTAAGTCACATATTATCACCTCTACTAGAAAAAGATATAAAGGATAGTAAGAAATCAGAATGTTTAGGTTTGTAGCTCAACTCTTCTTCATTTATCCTTGAGGCATCTAATATTCATCATTAAGGATGATTAGTAATTAACTTGAGCCAAAGAATTAGAATCTGTACTGCTAGGTGTGGATAAACTAGTTATGGGGACTTCCATAATTCCAAAATATGACTAGATCATTAGATCACTTATTACTGAAAATTCTTGAGATCCTTGATTTAGAACAAGTTTTTCAATTAAAACAATGTACTGTATATATATTTTTTACCTCTATTAGGTCATTAACCTTTTAGTGGTCCAACCAGTAAATAGGCAAGTTCTTCTGTCAATGTTTTTTATTGTGGAAAGATATATTTAACATAAAATTTGACATTTTAATCATTTTCTTTTTTTCTTTTTAAATTTTTTAAAATTTTGAGAACAGTTGACAGACAGTGTTACATTAGTTTCAGGCGTCCAGCATAATGATTCAGCATTTCTGTGTGTTAGACTGTGTGCACAAGTGTAGCTACCATCTGTCCCCATACGACACTATTATGATACCATTGACTGAACTCCCTGTGCTGTGCCTTTCATTTCCATGACTTATTCCTTTTATAACTGGAAGCTTATATCTCCCACTCCTCTTCACCCATTTTGCCCCTACCCCACTTCCCTTGTCGGCAACCATCAGTTCGTTCTCTGTATTTATAGGTCTCATTCTATTTTTGCTTATTACTTTGTTTTGTTTTTTTAGATTCCACACATGAGTGAAATCATGCTGTTTGTTTTTCTTAGTGTGACTTATTTCACTCACTATATAATACTAGGTCCATCCATGTTGTGGCAGATGGCAAGATCTGATCCTTTTTTATGGCTGTACAATATTTCATGGTGTGTGTATGTATTGTTTTTATCTATTCATTTATCAATGGAAACTTAGGTTGCTTCCATATCAATAAACATAAGGGTGCATATATCTTTTCGAATTTGTGTTTTCACTTTCTTTGGGGAAATACTCAGTATTGGGTCATATGGTATTTTTTTTCTTAATTTTTGAGTAACTTCCATGCTGCTTTCCACAGTGGCTATACCAGTTTACATTCCTACCTACAGTGCATGAGGGTCCCTTTTTCTCCACATCCTCGATAGCAGTTGTTATTTCTTATGTTTTTATATTAGCCATTTTGACAAGTGTAAGGTGATCCCATTGTGGTTTTGACTTGGATTTCCCTAATGATGAGTGATGTTGAGCATCTTTTCCTGTGTCTTTTGGCCCCATTTTAACCATTTTAAGTATATGATCCAGTGACATTAATTGCATTCACGACATTGGACACACACCAGCCCTGTCTATATCTAAAACTTTTCATTATCCAAACAGAAACTCTGCTCATTAGACAGTAACTCCCCATTACCCACCCCCCAGATCATAGTTATTTCTGTTCTACCTTCTGTCTCTGTGAATTTGCCTATTGCAGCTGTTTCATATAAATGGGTTCATACAGTATTTGTCCTTTGGTGTATGGTTTATATCACATTATTAGCACAATGTTTTCAAACTTCATACATGTTGTAGCACATATCAGAACTTACGTTCCTTTGTTTGGCTGAATAATATTCCATTGTATGTACATACCATGTTCTGCTTGTCTGTTCATCTGTTGCTGGACACTTGGGTTGGTCCTACCTTTTGACTTGTGTGAATAAGGCTGCAATGAACCTTTAAGTGTTCAAGTATCTGTTTGCATCCCTGTGTTCAATTCTTTAGGTCTGTACCTAGAAGTAGAATTGCTGGCTCATGTGATAATTCTGTGTTTTCTTTTTGAGGAACCACCAAACTGTTTTCCATAGCTGCTGCACTGTTTTACATTCTTAACAGCAATGTACGAGGGCCCTGATTTTCACATCCTCCTCAACTCTTGTCGTTTCCCATATTTTTGATTATAGCCACCCTAGTAGGTGTGAACTGTACCCGCGTTGCAGCTTTGATTTGCACTTCTCTAATGACTAATAATCTTGAGTATCTGTTCATGTGCTTGCTGGACATCTGTATGTCCTTGGTCAAATGTCCGTTCATGTCCTTTGCCTTTCTTTTTTTTAATTGGGCTGTTTGCATTTTGCCATTTTATTGTTCTCTCACTTTTTAATTTGTGTTCTCTCATACTTCTGTGTATAATAAAAAAGATAATTTGAGCTCAGGGAAATACTTTCTATCTGCCTTTCATTGCCACACACATTGACTTTCATCCTGTTAACCAAAATGAGCACCTAGGACTCTCTCTTCAAATGGAAGATTTTTTTCTGAATGCCTTTATACCGTGGAATTCCTTGTATTCTTTCCCAAATCTCAGTTTAATGAGCCCATGTGGAGGAATGGGAGAGGGGTAACAAATAAACAAACATCCATTTTCTTAGTATGATGCAATGTTAGACCTGGAAGAGGCCATCTCTTTCTCAAACTGAGATCCAAAGATTCTTTGAGGAAGGATCCACAAATATATTCTTGGGATCTGAGAGTTTTAGAATTTTAAAATACTGCATTTTTATACTAATAATAATCTAAAAGGTAATTATGAAAAAGCCAAAATTTCACAATTCAAGGACATTTCAATGGTTTCTTATATCACTTTTCTCAACTGGAGATTATAGGACCTCTGGGGAACCTGAGGACACAACCTTGGCAGGTATCTAAGATTTTTTTTTTCTTCCTTTAAAAGGAACCCATACATTAGTAAGTTTAAGAAATGCTGATCAAATCCAACGCCTTTCCTTTTACAAAGAAGGCCTAGAAAAGTTAAGTGACTCACCAGAATAACACAACAGATTAATAAAGCCAACCAGCACTAAGGCTTTATTCAGTGTTCTTTGTGACAGAATGGGGATACTGCAGGGATCCCATCATCACTGAGTTTAAAATACAGTGGGAAAGCAGAAAATGAACAAGGAATAACTAAAATGATGTGTATGCGGGAGGAGAAAGGTAATAGGAATCATATTGAATGGTTTAACCTCATCTGAGGGTTTGGGCAAGAGATTTTTATGCTGACAGTCGAAGAGAGAACAGGAGTTAGTTTAAGGGAGCCCTGAGAAGAGCAGCGTTCCAGAGGAAATAACATGTGTGGAGGCCCTGAGGTGAAAAAAGCATAGTTTACTTACTGGTTTAAATGAAGAAAAGAAGTGAAAAGAGGGTTCCGAGGTAAACAGGGACCAGATTATTCCAGTGGATTTAAGACAATTAGAAGTCAGTACAGAGTTTCAATAAGGAAGTGATGTAATCTGAGCTGTCACCTTAAAAGGGCACTCTGGGGGTTCCTGGGTGGCCTAGTTGGTTGGGCGTCCGACTTCGGCTCAGGGCATAGTCTCACGGTTCATGGGCTCAAGCCCCGCGTCGGGCTCTGTGCTTACAGCTCAGAGCCTGGAGCCTGCTTCGGATTCTGTGTCTCCCCCTCTCTCTGACCCTCTCCTGCTCTCTGTCTCTCTCTCTCTCTCTCAGAAATAAATAAAACATTAAAAAAATAAAATAAAAGGGCAATCTGGCTGCAGGTGCAGAATTGATTGGAAAGGCGATAAGGCCAATAGATGTAGGGAGACCCAAGTAGGAAGCTACAGCAAAGATATGTGTAAGAGATGAGAATATCTTGGGTTAAGGATGATAGAGAAGATTGAGAGAAGTGGCTAAACGTATTTAACAGGTAGAATCAAAAGGATGTAGTGGTTGATTGCATGTGGGCATTATAGCAGTCAGTTAAGATTCCCTTTTTGGGTGGCATGATCAGCTGGGAGATTGTTGGAGCTATATACTAAAGATAGGGCGGCGGCCGCTGCTGCAGAGACCAAGATGGCCAAGAGACTCACCGCCTTCCTCAAGGATGTCTGGGCCAAGGAGCCGGTGCTGGTCGCGTCCTTCACTATCGGGGACCTCGCTATAATTCTGCCCACCATCAGCCCCTTCACCAAATACACCACCATGATCAACCAGGTCACGCCCTACACCTATCCAGTGCCCCTCCGAGATGATGGGAACATGTCTGACGTGCCCAGCCACCCCCAGGACCCAGAGGGTCCAAGCTTGGAGTGGCTGAAGAAACTGTGAGCACCTCCGGTGATGTGGAGGAGGCCCCCTCCCCTGTGGCCAATAAAATGTGAAAAGCGACCCCAGAAAAAAAAATAATAAATAAATAAAGATAGGGCTCACTGAGAGAGACATGTTTTGAGGAATAGGTGATGACTGCAGTTTTTGACCAGTTGCTGTTGAGTTGCCAGTGAGGTATTTGAGTGGACATCCTCAATAGATGTTCATACGCAGAGCTGCAGCACAGAAGAGGCAACCAGGGCAGGGATACAGATTTGGTTTCAGTACATCCATGATATTTGAAACCTTCTATAATGGGATTGCCTAGGGAGAGCATATGAAATTAGAATTGTGAAAGAGCCTAAGACAGCCTTGAGGAAGGATCAGCCTGAGTGACAGGGTAATTAGTATCTCAGGGTCCAGAAAGAAGACACAGCAGTGCAAGAAAGGCAAGGACTCACGGGTCTGCTCTCTGATGGAGCTGTTAAATGGCTTGTTCTGTGGAATGTGTACCTACCTGACACACAGGGATAGATGGCATTATGCTACTGATTGTCAAATTAATTTTTCCAATCCTTTTCCCAGAATCTAATCATGTGAAATGTTACAGTGGTAAAATTGAATTTCTGGTTAACTCAGCCAACGAGAAAACCCATTTCACTTCTGGTTCTATAAAATCTTTCTTAAACATGATAAGCCATTTTTCTGTCTTAGTAAATATTCTAGGGTGAAACAAAATTTAAATTGAATTTAGATAACTGAATTGGTGATTTGAGAACTTTTAATGTCTTAGTTTCACTTTGAATAGCAGGACATTTTTTTGAAGATCTAGAAAATATTAAAGATTATCTCAGCAAATAGTCTGGAAGCTGCTTTTAAAAACAAATACTCTTAACTGCCTTTCTCCCCAACCCCCATAGCATTTGTCCATTTTTTTCTAAAGATAAAGGAACAACTTTCAGTACAGTAAGGGTATTTAATAGTTAATGAAAGTTGTATTGCATTTGTTTTTATTTAATAGCTGGGGTTTTATACAATTTTAACTTAGTAGAACCAGGTATATCGGTATACTCCTCAGCACTGCTAATTTTTTCAAAATTTTTTAATGTTTATTTATTTTTGAGAGAGAGAGAGAGAGAGAGAGACTGTGAGTAGGGAAGGGGCAGAGAGAGGGAGGCACAGAATCTGAAGCAGGCTCCAGGCTCTGAGCTGTTAGCACAGAGCCCAACATGGGGCTCAAACCCACAAACTGCAAGATCATGACCTGAGCCAAAGTTGGACTTTTAACCAACTGAGCCACCCAGGTGCCTCACTCAGCACTGTTAATTTTATCAAAATGTGTACTCTTTGATCACTGACTCCAAATATAATTCAGTTCTTTCAAAATTATTCTGCTGACATTACAGATATGTGTGCAGTAAAGAGCCATCTGAAAAGTTACACCTAAATTAGATTTGAGTAGATTAAGTCATGAGTCACCTGCACGTGGGCTATTTCCAATGGTAGCAATACCAAAGTGAATCTTTTAATAAAATAAAATCCCCTTTAAAATGGAGTCTGGGGAGAAGGAGACTAACATTTATACTTTGTGCCAAGCACTTCTAAGTGCTTTACATACATAATTTCTCTACAAATGAGGAAATTGAAACTTGAAGTGATTCAGTAGCTTCCCAAAGTTGCAGCCCTGGCATGGGGTGGTGCTGGGATTCTAGAGTAAGTTCATCTAATTTTAAAACCTGTATTCTTTCCCTTTACACCTCTGTTCCTCACTGGAAGTCAGGAGGCCTAAATTCTGACTCCTGCTGCATCCTCTAACTGTAAGAACTCGGATAAGCACATTAGTTTGTTTGCACTCACTATCCCCCAGGCATAGTTTTGCCCCTTCCCCCTGTCTAGAATGCTCCACACTTCCCATCCATGTGTTTATTCATCCAGTTGGTAATCAGTTCATCATTTGGCCAGATGATGGTCTTTAATCATGTAATAAGTTACTGAGATTCTGTGACATCAGTATGAAAGTGACATAGATACATGGCCTTTGCCTCTGAAGAGGTCACACTCTTGTAGTATCTTTATCTTGCTCAGTATATAAGCCCTTGCTTTAGATTTCTTCCATGGAGCCTTTTCTATGAGCCAGCCTCCCATTTCTTCCATGGAGCCTTTTCTATGAGCCAGCCCTTTCTGACATGCTCTTCAGGAGTCCCTGTGAAACTTAGTCATTTTTCATTTATTTGGCAATTAAACAGGTGCTGCCTTGTGACATCTCTTCTATCATTGGCTAGAATCTTATTCTAATCATGAATCATTGCTTAACTTTTCACCTCTTTGCAGCTTGTTTCACCAAGATATAAATTCCTTAAGGGCAGGCTTACCCTTCTCTATATTTCCCACAGTGTCTTGTAAATAGCGAAAATTTTTTGACTGGATTCATTCAGCAAATGTTTATTAATTTGTGTTAAATTTTTAAGTTCAGAGTTTACTGTTTGGTCAGATGTTCTAGGCTGTCACTTAGCTTCCCTGAGTCTCAATTTTCAATAAAATGGAAATAATTTCTACCTCTTGAGATTAAATCAATAATATATGTAAAACTGCTTTGGACACTTTACAAGACTATACAGGTGTTACTGACTATTTTATACTTTGTGATAAAAATAGCCCTATCCTGAATTCTTCCAGTAGATAGTATGTGTTCCAGCATTTACCTCCCCTGTGCACTTGGTCTGTTTTTATCTCTATTATCCCACTGTATAGCTCTCTGCAGTTTTAACTTCTTTGCTCTTAAGTTTATCTTTAATTTTTTCTCCTTCATTTTGTATATACCCATGTCTTAATCTCATTTATGGTTATGGACATGAGTAGTATGAACTGTTATCAGACTAGCCTAATCTGATGGATCACCATTATACTACAAAGCTGAGAATAATAGAATTTATTGTTAATTTTCATTCAAGGTAGCTAAATTCATTCACTTGTAGTTTCGGATGGATGTAAAGGGTTTTGTTGTTAGGAATTTGATGTTAAGGTGCTTTTTAGTCAATGTGAGAGTTCTGTATACTCTTCAGAGAATATATTAGGACTGGTACCATCAAAGCCTATATTGCCTTAGGTCATCTGGGTGGGACCATAGCAGACTTAGTAATAACCCCAGAATACAATCATTTCAATAGCTAAGGCTTATGATTAAGATTTCCCAAGCGTTAACAAATTTACTGAATTGCATTATTCTGGTCTTTACTACTATTGATGCTTTGGTTAGCCATCAAACAAATTTTATTTTGCAGCCTTCTTTGAAATAAGTTTTTTTTTTTTTTTTTTTTATCATTTGATAGTATTTGTAACAGAATCATTGTCTTCTTTAGCTTTTCTAGAGTGTGATTCTTGTGTGGTTAATGTCTCTCACCTCTTGGAAGCCTAGAAATAGATATATTGACTGTTATTGTTATTTATGTTGAAAGATATTAAAATGAGATTTGTAATCCAAGTGGGCATTACTTATTTCACATCTGGTTGCTTGAAAAGTGGCCAGATACAACAATTCTTAATGCAAGACAGCCTAGGGCAAAACCTTTGCAATTCACACCCTCCTTTGCAAAACAACTGCCCTGTGTGAACCTTTCACATTAAGGAAAAAAGAAAAGAAAAGCAAACAAAGAAAATTTGCTTCACTACTTTTAATTATAAATTTCCAATAAAAGTGTTCATATGATTCCTACATTCACAAGCTAACAACCATTAGAAGTGGAAGGCAATGTGCAGAAATACAATGGCAGCCTTGACCTAGTTTCAGGGCCAGGCCCAAAGACATCATGAAACTTCTCCTCTCTTAGATCTCCTCACTTTGCTGATTTTTTTTTTTTTTTTCCTGATGAAAGCTCCATGACCAGAGAGAGGCTTGAATTCGTGACCATCCCCCACCCCCAAAGTCACATGCTGAGCCGGCCAAATGGCTCCACTCTGCTGAATTTAAAGTGATTATGTTCCTGGTTGCCTGTGACAGTCTTGGTGTATACCTGTTGTTCAAATGTTGTTTTTAATATTGCCCTCTTTCACTCTTGAAAGTGTCCCAGGCTGGGTAATAAAGTGTAGGATCACCTTGTTTCACCCCTCAGAGACACTAATCAGGAGGTCAGGGCTGGGAATGAGGAGAACTTATTAAAGGAGAAATAATATTAGGGTTAGGAGGGTACTGGAATCAGAAGGCTACTGATCAGAATTTTCAGTAAATAAGATGTGAGCTGAGCTGGAAAGTGATTTGTGAATGCATTCTGACCATCACAAGATCCACCAGATTAATACTGGCTGCTCATGGGAGAGGCGGAGGACAAGAACCAGGTCAGGAGTTTGTGGTATCTTTTATGCAATACTAACGTTAAGCTTCCTGTCTGAGGTTTTCCATGTTGTTAGTCTCTCACCTCTTGATACTCTATGAGCACTGGTGATGCTGAGATCTAGTAGAAGCACTTCACAGAATTAAAAAAAAAAAAAAGATGGAAGATAATAGTTCTTTAGAAAAATGGAAACATGTTATTCTTGATAACCTTGCTCTTTGAAAAACTTAGCTGAATATCTTCCATTTACTTTAATAGTCTATTCAGAAACTTAATTTTATTAACCATAAAATACTCTCTTTTTAAGAGTCCTCCAGACTTGAAGGCTATTATTTTTGTTTATTTATTTATTTTTTTGAGGGGTGGTACAAAGAGGGACAGAGAGTGAAGGGGACAGAGGATCCCAAGTGAGCTCTGTGCTGACAGCAGAGAATCCAATGTGGGGCTTAAACTCACGAACCATGAGATTAGGACCTGAGCCAAAGTTGGACACTTAAGTGACTGAACCACCCAGGTGCCCCAACAGCTCTTATTTTTTAATACTCTACTGTTGTAGAATGTCTTTATTCTATTTAAAATAACTTTTAATTATATATATAATTTTCATTTTAGAGAGAGTATAGCGGGAGGTGATGGGGTCGAAGGAGAAAAAAAGAATTTAAGTAGGCTCCACGCTCAACTTGGAGCATGGGGCTCAGTCCCACGACTTTGAGATCATGACCTGAGCCCATCTCAAGAGTTAGATGCTCAACT